TGTGAAAGGCTGCTGCTTTCTCTCTGAAAAGACGAGCATCTTGGATCAGCCACTAACAGCCCGTTGGAGGTGTGCGAACACAGAGGCTGTCTTCGACTAAGGGGTTGGAGCCTTACCTGCCGTCTGCTGGGCTGATTAGGTGGGTGTGACCTGTGCTTGAGGTAACTCCGACGTCACTTGTAGATGTAGCTGCAAATACAAACACAGTTTCAACACCTCAGGCCTTGTCTACACCAGCGGAAGTCCTTATCTCAGCTGATGTTCTACATCAGTTCCTAGTGTGAGCTGTGAATAAAGGGACAAGGTTTTTTGGGGAGTGGAGGGAATTCTGGAATAATCTGGGAGGAGGTGATACAGATTCAGTGTCAGAGAGAGGAAGGAGAGAGTGGGGAAAGTGAGGGGCTGAAATCTGCAAAACAAAAACCCCACATTTTCCCTACCAATAAATACTCACCCTTGGCAACAGCCACTTTAACTTCAATTATTCTGTAAAGCCTGGGAGGCTCGTAGAGCGCACACCAGTACACCCCTGCATCGTCTACCTGTAGTTTCTCCATGGTGATAGTAACAATCCCTTTCTGGCTGTCGTCATGTATCCTGGCTCTGCCTTTCTGAGCCCTGTTTTGATAGTACCTGTGGTCAGTGTTGACCAATACATCACACTCATTCTGAACTGTGCTTCTGCACCAGGCTTTCTTCTCCTCTTTGTAATCCTGTGTGTTGTATGGACACTGGACAGAGAGACTCTGCCCCTCCATAGCATCGTATTCTTGGACTTCAGGAAACCACAAAAACTGGTCAGTACGATCTGGTTGAGAGGTACGATGACGTACATTTCCCATGAGTGACATATGCACAAGGGGCCAAATTCTTCCCTGGTGTAGCTCCATTCACTGGCTTCAGCTGAGTTACAGGAGGGGTGAATGTGAACTGGTGTATTTGGTCTTGTTTGCCGCAAAGATCAACTGTTTTGGCTGTTCCCTTTGCACTTGATCATCCCAAAGTCTCGCAGAGCGAAGGAAGTTACTGATCCTTTCCAGGCCAGGTTCTCCAAAGAGCTCAGCGTGTGGGGTGCACTCTGGGTCCTGAGCTCTTGGAAATCTGGCCCTGATTGTTGGGACTGAGCCCTTTAAAATGTCCCCCTCAGAATCTGCTTCTTGCATAAATAAACTTTACAACAGGGGTAGGCAACCTATGGCACATGTGCCGAAGGCGGCACGCGAGCTGATTTTCAGTGGCACTCACACTGCCCGGGTCCTGGCCACTGGTCCGGGGGGCTCTGCATTTTAATTTAATTTTAACTGAAGCTTCTTAAACATTTTAAAAACCTTCTTTACTTTACATACAACAATAATTTAGTTATATATTATAGTCTTATAGACAGAGACCTTCTAAAAACGTTAAAATGTATTACTGGCACGCGAAACCTTAAATCAGAGTGAATAAATGAAGACACGGCACACCACTTCTGAAAGGTTGCCGACCCCTGCTTTACAATATAAATTGACAGCCCCCTGAGGAAGCCATTAGAGGGGAAAACAAGAAAAGACTATTCTAACAGGAAGCAGGAATGGTCTGTTGGCTGAATTGCTGAGGTTAGCTGGTGATTCAGAGCAGTTTCCAGTGGGAGAAAGGAGAGAGGAGACAAGGATTTGTGGAGGATGACAGATTCTGGGGGCAGGCAGGAGGAATCGATACAGGCAGGGGAGAGATGATAAAGTGGGGGAAGGAATTCGGATTATAGTCAGTGGAAAAGACAGTTCTCCTGGAAGGAGATTAACTCACCCTTGAAAACGTCCAATTTAATTGTCTTTAGTGGAAACAGTGTATTGGGCGGGTAATAGAGCGCACACCAGTACACGCCAGAGTCCTGCACCTGCAGCTTCTCCATGGTGATGGTTATAATCCCATTGCGGGTGTCATCCTCTATCATGGCTCTTCCAGAGGTAACCTTGGTTTGGTATCCATATGATGTGTAAGAGGTGTTAACTATGGGAGAGCATTTCTCACCTCTCTGCTGGCACCAGGCTTTCTCCGTTCCACTGTAATACCGTATACTGTAGCGACACACAACAACGAGACTCTGCCCCTCCACTCTGCTCTCCATGGCGTCAAAGAATTGTGCTTGGAATCCTGGAAAACACCAGACCTGCTCAGTAAGAGCTGGGATGGAGCAAGGCTGCCTGCTGCCCCCTCTAAGCCCTGCACTCCAGTGCTTGGACTAAACACAGCCCAAGAACTAGAGGCTGGGCGCTGTGGCTGTGGCACCACGCCGCTACTAGAAGCGGCCGGCTGGTGGCATGTCTCTGCGGCCCCTGGCAGGTGGGGAATGGGAGGAGGCTCCGTGTGCTGCCTCTGCCTCCAGCACTGTCTCCACATCTCCCATTGGCTGGGAACCAATTGGTTGGGAAGAGCCTGAGACACTAGCAGTGTTTGGGGCTGTGTCTAGCTGACTGCTGGGGGAAGGGCTTTTTGTGTTAATATTTGAACTTTCTGATAATAAACCAGATTCTAAGTAAGGCTGTTCTCACTGGATTCATTAAAGCTGGTGTGGAATTTATTTAATAAGTCCCTTGAAGGGGGAAACTGAGGCAGGCCCTTGCAATAGCAACCTTTGGCCATGGGGGGGGGTGCTCAGGAGGTGGCTGGCCCCCCTGGGACAGTCGTTAGCTATTTCCTGGTCATTGCACCCTGTCACACAGAGACAGTCCCTGCCCCAAATAGTATACAATTAGGGATCTCTATTAAGCGCGATTAACTCACGCGATTAACTCAAAAAAAATTAATCATGATTAATCGCACTGTTAAATGATAGACTACCAACTGAAATTTGTTAAATATTTTGGACGCTTTTCTACATTTTAAAATGTATTGATTTCAATTACAATGCAGAATACAAAGTATACAGTATCAGAGAGGTAGCCGTGTTAGTCTGGATCTGTAAAAAGCAGCAAAGAGTCCTGTGGCACCTTAAAGACTAACAGATGTAGTGGAGCATAAGCTTTCGCTTCTGACGAAGTGGGCATGCACCCACGAAAACTTATGCTCCACTACATCTGTTAGTCTTTAAGGTGCCACAGGACTCTGTTGCTTTTTAAAGTATACAGTGTTCACTTTATATTATTTTTTATTACAAATATTTGTACGGTAAAAATGATAAACAAAATAAATAGTATTTTTCAATTCACCTCAGACAAGTTCTGTAGTGCAATCTCTTTATCATGAAAGTTCAACTTTCAAATGTAGATTTTTTTTTTTGGTTACATAACTGAACTAAAAAACAAAACAATGTAAAACTTTAGAGCCTACAAGTCCACTCAGTCCTACTTCTTATTCAGCCAATCACTAAGAGAAACAAGTTTGTTTACATTTACGGGAGATAATGCTGCCCACTTCTTATTTACAATGTCACCTGAAAGTGAGAACAGGCATTAGCATGACACTTCTGTAGCCGGCCTTACAAGGTATTTACATGCCAGATATGCTAAACATTTGTATGCCCCTTCATGCTTTGGCCACCATTTCAGAGGACATGCTTCCATGCTGATGATGCTCATTAAAAAAATATGTTAATTATTTAGTGACTGAACTCCTTGGGGGAGACTTGCATGTCTCCTGCTCTATTTTACCCGCATTCTGCCATATATTTCATGTTATAGCAGTCTCGGATGATGACCCAGCCCATGTTGTTCATTTTAAGAACACTTTCAGTGCAGATTTCACAAAATGCAAAGAAGGTAACAGTGTGAGATTTCTAAAGATAGCTACATCACTCGACCCAAGGTTTAAGAATCTGAAGTGCCTTCCAAAATCTGAGAGGGATGAGGTGTGGCGCATACTTGCAGAAGTCTTAAAAGAGCAACACTCCGACGTAGAAACCAAACCACCAAAAGAGAAAATCAACCTTCTGCTGGTGGCATCTGACTCAGATAATGAAAATGAACATGCATCAGTCCGCACTGCTTTTGATTGTTATCGAGCAGAACCCGTCATCAGCATGGATACATCCACCCTGGAATGGTGGTTGAAGCATGAAGGGACATGTGAATCTTTAGTGCATCTGGCATGTAAATATCTCGCGATGCCGGCTACAACAGTGCCATGAGAACACCTGTTCTCACTTTCGCATGACATTGTGAACTCGTATTTTTGCAGGGATACATTTGTGTGGTGTGTAGTGGGTGTTCAAAAATCTTTACCCATTGAACCTGGAGTTTCCAGTATCTGGTGTAAATTGGTGTAGCCCCATTGACTTCAGTAGAGCTCTGGTGTTGATTTACTTCACTTGAGGTATTGGTCTGCCATGGATCCTCTCACTCCTTACCGTGCTGTTTCTTGAACAATTCACAGCACATTTGACAAACCAAGCCCCAGATCCCACCTGCCCCTGACATGGAATGTCCATGTAACCCCCCAAGTATCACATCACTCTTCCTCTTACCTGAGATGCAGAGCAGCAGCAGCAGCAGGAATCTCAGCTCCATGCCTGTATTCAAGCCCACAGAGGGGCATTGCTGGAATATCGTATGGAACGTGAAAGGGATTTTTAGAAAGTCTCTTCTCTCTGAGCTCTCTCCTATCGACACTGCAGCTGCATGAGGAAGTGGCTGAGGTCTTGCCTTAGCACAGAAATACTTCCCCATATTTTGCAACAAAACTGATATTAAGTTAATTTAATTGTGTATTTAGGGAAGTGGATGGCAACAAAAGAGTTAGGACAGTCCTGAAGGGCAGAGGGAGGACTTTACACATCCCTCCTGAGCACAGTTACTGGCTGATCTTTCACAGACTGAATGATCATTTTGTTAAGTTCCCTGTGTGGGAAAGGGGGAACGAACTGGTGTCTCAGGCTCAAATCAAACCCCAAAGAAAAAAGGGGTGCATTTTAAGAGACAGGTTTCCTGAGTATGGAAATGTGATGCATTAAAATACACCCCTTTTTGCTTTGCAGTTTGATTTGAGCCTGGGAGACCATCTTGTTCCCCTTTCCCATAGCTCATGTGATAAAGAACTCCTTTTGTGTCTTAGCCTTTTTGATTTTGTCCCTACATACTTGTTCTGTTTCTTTGAATTCCTCCTTATCAGTTTGACCATATTTCCACTTTTTGTAGGATTCCTTTTCTATTTTCAGGTCATTAAAGAGCTCCTAATGGAGCCAGATTGGCCTCTTATGATTCTTCCGTATTAGAACTAACATCAGCCTTACCCAAGGGCTGTCCTGTTTAGCAGATTGCAGTTAGCCCTGTGATCCACTCAATGAAAACCATGACCAGATGAGGCTATGTTACACCCAACAGTCCGTCTCTACACTGAGTGATAAGTCATGTTCGTTAAGATGTTTTCCAGCAGGAAGTAATTTTTGAGGTCAGATAAGCCCTATCTGAATCTGGCCAAGGGCAGGTCTTCTCATTGCTTGGTCTTGTTTGTGCAGTTCCCCCATGGAGGAGGCCACTCTGTGTTCCTCTGAGAATGTGCAAAGCTTTTCCATTCCATTTATAACTCCATACCTCCTTCTTCTCACCTGTGCACTGGAAGGTGAGAATTCATGTTGAGGGGCCCTCCAGTTCCTTTTTAAACCTTGATATTCCACGTATGGGACACAGATGTCTCTTTCGAGAAGGGCACTTTATACATTATTTCAAGAGGAAAACACACCCTTTATATATCTCCCATGCAGAAGCAGCATGGAGAGCAGCAGTGTAAGCTTTTCTCATTCCATCCCTTGCCAACATGCTTTTAATCTGAATGGTAGGGACCATGTCTGGTTGCTGAGAGAAGAGTCTGTACCCATGACCATCTGAGTCTTTAGCAACTCTGTTGGGATTGCCATCGACTATTAACTGCGATGGTGATTTTAGGATGTGGGCAGTGTTTGGGCACCTGCCTTCTGGGAACTTGACTGCTTAATGTGCAATGAGGTTTTTGGATCTCAGTTTGGTAAATACTTTAGGTCATGGTACACCTGAGTCAGCCAGGGAGCCAGATTCTACTCTCATCTACCCTGGTGTAACTCCACTGAGCTACTCTGAATTCACTGTGGTGTGAATTTGACCCCCAAACCACCTCCTGGTTCTGCCAGCAGGTTGGTATGGAGCAGGCAGTGGAGAGGGTGAATTATTAATATTTTTCACTTCCCTAGCACCATTGTCGGTGGATCTCAAAGGGCTTTGCAGGCAGTGAGTGCAGCACCTGTGTTGCAGAGGAAGTATCATCCCAACATTGCAGAGGAGGAAAGTGAGCCTGTCCTGCATCTGTTTTGAGAGCCCATAGGAGGCACTATATGAGTTCCAGGCATTATAACAACCAAACTAGCCCCCAGGTTGCTCTCAATGATCCGTTCCATGGAATCGAAAAGAGCCAGGGCCAGGACCAATGGGACAGATATTTCCACAGGAGCCTAGCATGGAGAAATCAAACTCACACCATTCAGTGTTCATACTTCGTATTTTCAGTTTAACAGAGTTGTTACAGCTTTCAGCATTGTACAGCACATGGAGTGACAGTAGGGTCGCAAACGTTCTATTTAAAAAATACAGGACCAGTTTCTTGGCAGTGCCCCTCTGTCAGTGCTATTCAAATTTGACCTGGCTGCCCCTCCGTGCATGTCAGAGGGGAGGCCAGGCCAAATTCTGGACTGCTCCGGCAACACTCTACATTGAAACAGATGATAAAAGGCACTCAGTACTGATTTAGTTTGGGACAGGAAATTTTTTATTTAAATAAGGGACATCCCTAAAGATACGGGACAGTTGGTAACCCTACAAAACTGGGCCCGTCTGCAGCCAGTACAGCAGAGAGCTTCCGTGGATATTTGTCACAGCCCCACTAAAGCTCTCTCTGCCGGACACTCACCAGGCTACTGTGCATGGGTCCATCACTCTAGAGCCATGTGCTTAAACTTTCCAAGGTTGAGTAGGCTCCAGCACTGTCTCTTTCCTTGACCTCTCTGGCACACTTCATGGAAATGGGAGCTCACGGTCCAGCTTCTCTAGGCCTCCAGGACCCCATGGCAATTCCATAAGTTTAAGCTCCCCCTTTCCAAGAGTTCCAACTTTGTTGGTTCTCTGGGTTACAGGTTACCTCCATTCTTGAGCATTCTTTGGGCTTAAGTTGGAGCCTGCTATGAGTCCAGGATCCCCTCACCTGCATGTGGTTTCTCCTCTGAATCACAATGTCACTCTCCTCTTCAGCCAGCTTCCTTCTTCCTCAGCTGGTCCCAGAGTTCAACAGAACCCCCCCCCCAAGTTATGAAAGCATGCCCCTCTGCTATTCTCTGCTGCCCAAGCTTCCTTTGTGTCCCTCCTGAATCTCTAACCTGCTGAGTTTTTAAGACCCTGCACTAACACTGGATCTCTTTAAAAAGCAATAGAGGGTCCTGTGGCACCTTTGAGACTAACAGAAGTATTGGGAGCATAAGCTTTCGTGGGTAAGAACCTCACTTCTTCAGATGCAAGTCTGAATCTCTGGATCTCTTTGTTCTGCTTCTGGGAAAATTCCATTCCTTCAAGCCTCCAGTGCCCCAGTCAGAGAAATTGGAGAAAGCAAACTTGATCTATAATGCAGTTACTCCTATGTTCTCCCCGAGTAAGATCTGTTCTGGTGCTGCTAGTCTATAATGATCAACCTGTCTATGGACATGCTGGTGCCCCTCTCTTCTTAGCACAAGGAGCATGAGGCAGAACACAGTCAAAGGCAGTCATAAGACATAAGGATACAGACTGTTCATAAACTCAAACTGGAAACCATCATTTGTACCTAGCCAGATTTCCCAAAGCGACTCAAGTGCGTGCAGGTGGGGAGGGCGTTCAGACCCAACTGGAAGAGCAGCTCAGAAACAAAGTGGTGGATTGCTTTTTCCTCATGGATATCAGAGAACCACTGACGCAGACCCACTGTATTATTAGGTGTAAAACTGCTGAGGGGGGGGAGAGCCCAGCTGATATCCCAGGGTCTGCAACTGGAAGGGGAGCTTAGGTAAGGAGCTACATCATTCTGCATCCTCTCTCCATGCTATTGTGTATGAAGTCTGGGGTACGCAGTGTAGAGAGGGGGTGGTCTATTTAGGGACGAAGGCTTAGATACAATGTGGGGAATGGGCACCCGTTTCTGCTCAGAGCCTCGGCAGGGACGACATCATCAAGTTCAAATACAGAGATGCTTCTGGAGGAGGAGATTTGTATTAGCTCCTCACCCCCTCAGACAGGTCTCCAGTGCTTGCTTCAGCTGCCCCGTTGCCCTGAAATGAAAGGAGAACAGCTTTCTTAGAAAGAATCTTATCTGCAGTGAGGTGTATGTAGCCTGTCTCAACAAGGGGGGGAAAGGGTTAATAAACGTGCAGATGATACCTAATCACTTAAAATTATCGAAGACGGATAAATCCAAAGCTGACGGCAAAGAGTAGCAAAGGGATCTCACAAAACTGGGGGACTGGGCAACTAAATGGCAGATGATTCATAGATTCTAGGACTGGACAGGACCTCAAGAGGTCATCGAGTCCAGTCCCCTGCCCGCATGGCAGGACCAACTACTGTCTAGACCATCCCTGATAGACATTTATCTAACCTCCTCTTAAATATCTCCAGAGATGGAGATTCCACAACCTCCCTAGGCAACTTATTCCAGTGTTTAACCACCCTGACAGTTAGGAACTTTTTCCTAATGTCCAACCTAAACCTCCGTTGCTGCAGTTTAAGCCCATTGCTTCTTGTTCTATCCTTAGAGGCTAAGGTGAACAAGTTTTCTCCCTCCTCCTTGGAGTCATTGTGGATAGTTCTCTGAAAACATCTGCTCAATGTGCAGCGGCAGTTAAAGCCAACAGAATGTTAGAAATCTTTAGGAAACGGATAGATAATAAAACAGAAAATATCATACTGCTACTACATAAATCCATTGTACAACCACATTTTGAATACTGCCAGCAGTTCCGATTGCTCCATCTCAAAAATGATATATTAGAATTGGAAAAATTGGACGGGCACCAAAAATGTTTGGGGGTATGGAACAACTTCCATATAAGGAGAGATAAAGTGACTGGGACTGTTCAGTTTACAAAAGAGATGACAGGGGGGTTATGATAGAGGTCTATAAAATCATGAATAGGGAAGTGTTATTTACCCCCTCACATAACCAGGGGTTCCCTGAGGAAATTAATAGCCAGCAGGTTTGAAACAAACATAGGAAAGTATTTCTTCATATAATGCACAGTCAATCTGTGGAACTCCTTGCCACAGGATATTGTGAAGGCCAAAAGAGGAACAGTGTTCAAAAAAGATTTAGATACCTTCATGGAGGATAGGTCCATCAATGGCTGTTTGCCAAGGTGGTTGGGGTGCAACCTCATGCTCTGGAGGTCCCTAAACCTCTGACTGCCGGAAGCTGGGACTGGATGACAGGGGATCGATCACTCCATAATTGCCCTGTTCTCTACAGTCCCTTGGAAGCATCTTGCACTGGCCACTGTTGGAAGACAGGATACTGGGCTACATGGACCGTTGGTCTGACCCAGTATGGCCATTCTTATGTACTTAACTTCCTTGAAAGAGGAAAA